TGAGGGTACGGCGCCGGGAGTGAGGAGTGAGGGTACGAGTGAGGAGTGAGGGTACGGCGCCGGGAGTGAGGAGTGACGGTACGAGTGAGGAGTGAGGGTACGGCGCCGGGAGTGAGGAGTGAGGGTACGGCGCCAGGAGTGAGGGTACGAGTGAGGAGTGAGGGTACGGCGCCGGGAGTGAGGAGTGAGGGTATGGCGCCCGGAGTGAGTAGTGGGGGTACGGCGCCGGGAGTGAGGGTACGGCGCCCGGAGTGAGGAGTGAGGGTACGAGTGAGGAGTGAGGGTACGGCGCCCGGAGTGAGGACTTAAAAACTTCATGTGTGGAACAGTACTGAAAGCCCTTCAATGAGACGGGGGATCAATGATGCTAAACGTCAATGTTTAACTTTCAAGCTGCTCATTAAATCTGTGTCTAAACAAACACCTTTGTGCATTCGTGCTTGTGTTCAGGACTACACTACCCAGGTTCCCAGAGGGCATGAAATCCTTAGCTGCCCTGTCACACGCATGTACCCCACTGATGACTGCGAGCCTTGTAAACCTGGAGAGGTGGTATGTGTACACACACACACACACACACACACACACACACACACCTCAGGCTGGAGCTCACCCCTGGCCCTTCAGCCAGTATTAGTCTCTCTACATTTCTACGCCGTTCTTAAGGGAAACGGGCAGAGAAGGCTGAGCTGTGACAGGAACATCAGTGGCACCAGGTCTTTTGGACTTTGTGGTCCAAGTTGTCCTCTGTAAGCACAGTCAGGCATGACACCAGTGACTGTGGCCCTGTGTACAACAGGATGCAGACTGTGTTCATGCAGCGTTCGTGTGGGATCATCATGACTGAGTGGAACAGAGAAATGTTCTTTAGGGTTACTTAGACGAGCTGTTCAGGCTGTGTTACAGGGATCGTACCAAATACTCACTTTGTGCTGTTTGACTGTATTTCTGGACGTTTCAATGAATCTCTGCACCTATTGTCCCTAAAATATGAAGAAATGAGGGGGTGGCTCAAGATTTTTGCACAGTACTGAAAATATTTTCCTTAAGTTCATTTTCAGGCGGCATGCTTATCTCAGGGCTTCACTAAACACTGCAAACAATTTAACAAAGCAGTCAGCACTCGCACACTGACATACCGTCATAGCCAGCTGATGTGTAACCTTTGACCCAACAGGAGGCTAAACTACAAAGACCACGATCCTAACGAGCTGCTCCTCTTATTAATCAGAGCACTAATAGTACATTTAACAGGTGCACACCTGGACTGGTACACCTGCTCCTCCTGTGTTCCAGCAGCATCGGCGTCTCTTTAATGCGACTGCTGGCAGTCACCAAATACTGGAGTGGCCCACACAGATGCTGAGTGTTGTGTGTTTATGCCCCGAACGTTCTGTGTGTTCATACATGTGTAGGAGCAGCCTCTGTATGATGTGATCCATGAAGCTCTGCGGCGCCACTTGGAGGGCATTTCCTTCAGAGAGAGAAACGCTGGACCCAAAATAGACATGAAAATGAGAGATGAAGGTGTGTGTGTTAAATGAGTTGTGTATTCAGAGTACTTATACACATTTTAAGAAAGTAATTTCTAACAGCTGATAAGCCGATGACATCATCTGGTTTTACTAAGTTCTTACTACAAAGATTTTTCGGGTACTGCACCTCACAACCTTTTGCTCTTTGCAGGGTTCAGCGTCGTTGCTCGGGTCGACCCCGCCACAGGTTTTGTGAGCGGAGGAAACCGCTTTAACTGCGGCACATGGATGGACAAGATGGGAGAGAGTGAGAGAGCCAGGAACAAAGGCATGCCTGCTACTCCAAGGTAACACAAACTCCTCACGCTGTGCAGTAAGTGACCCGCAGACTCCAGCTGCTCACATTCTACTGTCTCTACTGTTTTTACTGAAGTCAAATCATCAAAAAAGACTTCGCTGAAGCCCTCCATCAGGTTCAAAGTTGTATAAGTAACATATTAAACATGCTGAGACAG